GTCCAAGGTGTTTGAATGTGTGTTTGAATGTGTATTTAGTTGTGAACTCAGGACGGTTTGTAGTTAATGAGGTCAAAGCAAGTTGACCCATTTCTGTCAATGATGTTAGACATTGCTAGGGTTAATATGTTCAACTGATGTTGTTCTTTGTTGCAAATGTTTAATGTACTTAATATGAGAGATTTTAATTTTAATTTTGTGAACCAGGATGTAAGTTATCAGAGGATTAACTTTTGAAAAGTGCTAACCCTTCTATATTTGTACACTAGGTTTACATTTGACACAATAGCTTGCATTTATATAGTGTCCTTAGCATAATTATACATCCCAAGGTGCTTCATAGCAACAACACCATAGAAATTTTTATACCACAAAATATAATGGGATAGATGACCAAAGCTTCATCAAAGAGTTAAGTTTTAAGAAATGTCTTAAAGGAGGAGAAACATAAAGAGATTTAGGGAAGAAGTACAGAGCTTAGGGGCTTAACAGCTATGAATGGTGGAGGGGTAAAAATAAATGATTCTCAAGAGGTTAAAATTGGAGCAGTAGAGATCTCAGAGGGTTTAGGGCTATAGGAAAATTTGAGTTAGAGTGGGGTAAGACCTTGGAAGGATTTGATAGTCAACATTCTGTCAGACAGTGAGCTGTTATAGGCCTGCAAGTTAAAGGTATTGTCACAAACAAAAACAGAAGTTACTGGAAAAGCTCAGCAGGTCTGCCAGCATCTGTGAAGAGAAATCTGAGTTAACATTCCAGGTCTGTTGACCCTTCCTCAGAACTGATGGTAGCTAGGAAAATCGAATCAGAGATAGTAGGAACTGCAGATGCTGGAGAATCTGAGACAACAAGGTGCAGGGCTGGATGAACACAGCAGGCCAAGCAGCATCATAGGAGCAGAGAGGCTGACGTTTCGGGCCTAGACCCTTCATCAGAAAAGGGGGAGGGGAAGGGGGTTTTGAAATAAATAGGGAGAGAGTGGGAGGCGGATAGAAGAGGGATAGAGGAGAGGATAGGTGGAGAGGAAACAAACAGGTCGAAGAGGCGGGGATGGGGCCAGGAAAGGTGAGTGTAGGTAGGGAGTTAGGAAGGGGATAGGTCAGTCCAGGGAGGACGGACAGGTCAAGGGGGCGGGATGAGGTTGGTCGGTAGGAGATGGAGGTGCGGCTTGGGGTGGGAGGAGGGGATAGGTGGGAGGAAGAACAGGTTAGGGAGGCAGGGACGAG